GGTCTACAAGCGTTCATTTCCGAGGGTGAGAGTTGCCTTGCGGGGCCTTGTCCTTCACATCGACGCGCGCTACATTCGATGAAATAATATATTTTGTTGTGGCAAATGTCACGCAAACAAATACAGCAATCAATTAACGATGAAATAATCTGCCTTGCGCTTTATGAAGACAAAAGTAGCAGGTAGAGTCTAACTTAAAGGCCATTTTGGCAATGCAGTAACAGTAGGGAAGAGGGCTTTCTTTGTAGTGCTTCTGGGCCAAGCATTTAGGAGGGCAGGAAGGCGAGTGGATGTCAGTTTTATTTCAGTTCCCTTACCAACCAACATGGAATAGTAGATCAATCAGTTGGGAACTCTGATGTGGGAAACACGGGGTTCCTTTCTACAATTTAGGTAAACACTCTGAAATTTGTCATTTGGGCACTGAATTGCACAACAAGGGCCTATATGAATGACAACTTGTAAATCCGTGATAAAAGGAGAGCAACTACCCGACATAATTCTCAAATACGACCTTATCTATAATTAGAAACATGAAACAGAGGAATCGATGTCACTTTTATAAAATTGCATCCTTTCCATTTTTAGATTATTTTCTAGCTGCCACTCATATTTGTCTCCTTCATCTATCCCATTATTTCTTAGACAGCCATCTGGCTACGAGCCTTTGAAAAGATTCAAAATACAATTTTGATCTTATTTATTGGAAATCGATTTTGATTTTAGCAATTTTCACCTTAATTGAAATATGGCATTTAGTTTTATGGGGGTAGCTTACCCCCACCCCCGAAAAGAGACAATACCCCCATATCTCCTTATCGGTGACACGTACGATGTTGAAAATGGCAGAAATGGAATCAGCACCATCAAAAACCTATAGAAGGATATTGGTTTTGGTGGAATATCTAATAAGCTTCAAAATGAAATTCAGACAATGCCTGCCAAAAGTACTTGGAACACCCACCAATTTACGCTGCATTTGATATCTTTCATTCCTTTCATGGAAAAAATTTGCTACTT